ATTGTTATTTGCAATGGAAATTACACATATTACACATTTTGAAGTAACAAAAAATAGAATTTTAAGTATTTTAAGTATTTTTTTCATATGATGTGTTTCATCGTGCCTAATAAGAACACAAACACCAACAGTTACACGACTGAAACTCAAACTGAAAAAGATTCATTTTCAAATATACTGAGAGCTCTCCAAGTGAGAGCTGCTGCAGGACAGAAGAAAAAAAGGAAGATAGTTCACTTTGCTTGAAATCCAAGTTCATCCTGCTTTTACCAGCCAGCTGTCCCACATGCTGACACAGATAGCTAAGCATGTGGACAATGTCCGTTTTGCAATTTCCTCCAGTATTAATTGTATTACACTGACTCTTTAGGAACTGTATGGTAATATCATAAGTCCAGGGCAAGAAAAAAACATAATTCGAGTAAATCGTTTCATTGCATTTAAATTTACTTGTGCATGAAATCAACAACACGCAGAACTCAGCAGCCACACGCGTTACTTTAATGTTGGAGAAACATTTAAATCAGAGGATTCTGGGCAAGTTCTGAAGTATTGTTGTCCCTGTCACTGTTGCTATGGTGTGTAATACAGTTATATTTACACAGCATAATGATGCGCGCTTCTTAGTATGATGACTTGTTTAAATCATAGAAGCAATGTAATACTGTACAAAAGATTAATGAGGCGGCAGTATTTCAGAATTTGCCTTAGAATCCTCTGATTTAAATATTTCCAAAGCATTGAAGTAATCCAGTGACAGCTGTCTGCATTTCCACTGCTGCACAGCAAATATCACCGGTTGATAATTAATTCAGCAAACTTTATTTCTCAAGTTGTAAACAAATACAGTTTAAAAAAGCATTTCTGTCGCTGCCACAGTGTCACTCCGTTTAACGAGGTAACCTGAAGTGTCCAAAAAAAAGCGACCAATCACATTAGGACGCTGGTCTCCTTTAGACTCCGCCTCCAAACTGTCAAAGGGAGTTTTGCTATAAACTGCAGAGGAGAAACTCGTGGGCGTGGTGGCTTCTTGAGCGCGTGTCCACGGTGCGAGCGAGAGTCGTTGAAATCACGTGCGAGGAATTTGATTGCACCCGTGAAAAGAAATTATTTGCACGAATTGTTTTTTCATGCGTGGGACGTCCCCGATTTGAAAAGGTTATTGGAGAATTGACTGACAAGCAATTTCCTGTCCACGTCAGCCTCGTTCCCTTGTTATCTCATAGCAAATTAAGCAGATAAACGATATGAAATCTTAACTAATATGAGGTCCAAAGATTTCTTGATGCAAGTGAAGAAGACCTCACTACATTACTACATGACCGAAACACAAAATTCATCTGCCTTAAAATATTATACACTCAAGCACAGTTCATGTTGCTTACTGAATAAAAACAAACAAATTGGATAAGAGAATGCTTTTATTTTTATTTTATTAAACAGAACAGACAGCTGCTGTTTGGAAGAGAATTGAAAAAATACTAAAAACATAATTTCATCATTAATGAAACAGTCTTCAGGATCGCCATCAACATGCACCTGCTGGTGACAATGTTTCCTCCTGGATTAAATTAGATTTTATTCAGAGTCATCTGTTAAAGTAAGAACAGAACATTTTACATCAGGTTCAGTTCAAAATATAATGACAGCTCTCAGTATATTTTGAACTGAATATTTATTTAATTTTAAAGTAAAGCCTTAAATTTAAATTTAAGGCTCTTCCGGTGCCCCCCGTGTGCGGCAGCCTGTTACAGCAGCTCTGCTCATTCTGAGTTTCTTTCTTTCTTATCTTTTTTTCCTACTCAGTTGTATATAGTATTTGTATTTCTATTTTATTCTATTGTATTTTATTGCATTCCAGTGTTTTCTAATTTCTGCTACATAACTTTGCACTTTTGCTGTAACAAAACAAGTTTCCCACCTCTGGGACTAATAAAGGTCATCTTATCTTATCTTATCTTATCTTATCTTATCTTATTTAGCTAGAAAGAATGTGCCGGGAGTCAAGTCGTCCTCACCGGCTCTCTTCATCTCCCGGTCAACTACCGAGCTGGTGGGTAACAGACGTCTGCCAAAACGTCGGAGCACTTTTGCAAATATGTGATGTATTGGTAAAGCTAGCAGACATCTGAAGTTTACACATCTACATTCTCACCAGAAACTATCTTAAAAGTTTTTTTTGTGTCACAGACAAAGTAATGTCTCAAGTCGTGTCCAAATTCATGGGCTGCATCCTCCTGAGGACCC